CCAGAGACACGGGTCCTGCGAGTGCCACGGCTGCTTCATCGACTCCCTCGCTGCCGTCGATGAGCCAATGAGGACGATTCTACGAGGATCGAGGCCACTCGTTGAGTTTGGCCGTGACGAGGAGGCCGATCCAATGGAGCTTCTTCTTCTCTCGGACTACAAGGCGGAAATCAGGCTGCTCATTCACAGGCACAGGGTGGCATCAGAGGAGGAGCTGTTTATGAGCAGGGAGACAGGGGTGATACGGGAGATGAGGGCAGTGGTGTCGAAGTATCGTGGCATAGCATCGGGAATGAGGGGTGGTGCATCAGACAGGGTGTGTACGAGAGAGAGTGGGATGTTTAGTAGCATAATACGAGTGAAACCAGCTATTCATAGGAGAAGAGAGTATCGGTCAAAGGGGGTGATAGGGAAGTACAGTGAGAAATACTTCAGTTGCTACTTTAACAGTAATATACTGATAGATGATCAACATGGTAGTATTGATCAGGGTGGTGTAACAGATGTGGATGTTGATCAAAATAAGGATATTGATCAAAATAAGGACGATATCAATAATAATGATGATATTGATCAGAATATCAATATTGATCAAAATGTCAATATTGATCAGAATAATGATATAGACAAGTGTAAGCGCAATTGCAGTAAGACTGCCATTTACACCAGATTGGATGATAACTTCATTCTGGTCAAGGCTGACTACCAGAGAATGGCCCACCTTGTTGACCAGCTGGGCCCAAAGAGACGCGACCTCTTTTCAGATGCATTCAACCTGCTTCTTCTGACTGGCGCCTACTCCCTGAATGAGATGGACCGAATCACCAACATCCTCCTCTACATCAACAACGAGATGGATCGAGTTGAGCCAGATCGATCAGTTCCACCTGAGAAGGAGGAGGTGTTCAAGTTCATCGATGTCTCATTCGCCCTGTCAAATGACGCCTTCTTTCGAGTTGCATTTGTGGTTGGCCTGGACGTGTCACTTTTCAGGAAGATTGGAATGGCACGAGGGGTGGAGCTGAAGACGGGGCAGAGGAGACGAAGCCACAGGGTGTGCAAGGAGATCGACATGGTGGTCCACGGGATGCTGGACGACGAGGACGAGGTTGAGTTTGTGGGTGACTCCGCCTGTGCTGGAATCCGCCTGAAAAACAGGGGCTACTGCGAGTTCAACTACCACAGGGAGCACGTGAGAGACTTCATTCTGAATGGATTCTATGCTCCATCAAACATTCTGGTTGTCAGGCAGTGGAAGAAGAGTGTCTGTTACAGGGTGTCATTTGAACCAGGGCGACTTAATTTGAGTAGGATACCAGGAA